GGCGGCGTGGGCGCGCCCCCCGGCGGTGGCGGCGAGGACCCGAACCGTCCGTGGCGCCCCATGTCGTCGCACGAGGCGGACGCCGTCCCGGCGGCAGCGCAGCAGCGCAAGAAGAAGGCGGCGTCCCGCAACCGCAGCAGGAACGAGTCCGGGGACGGGCCTCACCCCTGCCCCGTCTGTGACCGCCGCTTCGACTGCCGCAAGGCCGTGCACGGGCACCAGCGCAGCCACCCGGAGCGCGCCTGGCGCGGCATGGCGCCGCCGGCCGAGCCGCCGGTGGTCGCCGTGACCGCCGACGGGAGGCAGCTGCGCTACGCGTGCGAGAGCTGCGGGGCCCAGTTCGAGACCCGCCAGGCGCTCGGCGGCCACCGCGCCAGCCACAACGGCAGGCTCGGCTGCTACTGGCTCTCCAGGCAGCACCAGGACGGGCCGGCGCAGCAGGTCGTCATGCCCTTCGATCTGAACGAACCGCCACCGGAGCAGCAGCAGGACGATGAGGACAAGGAGAAGGAGGAGGAGTAGGAGCAGCTAGGGCTCCGATCCCGCCGGTCGATCGCCGACGGCGGCGTGCTTGCGTCTTAATCTAGATAGATATCGTTCGCTTGCTAGTTAATCCCCTCATTGCATGCATGTAAGCTCGATCGACCAAGCTATTATGAATAATAATACATGTTCGTGGTGTTTCGGTCTTCTCTTGATCGAGAGCTAGCTAGAGAGAGCTTGCGAGCTAGAAGAAGGACGGTGTACATTCCTCGAGCTGATCGAGGATTCACCTTCTTATTATCTCATCATGCGCATGCAGCTTTAATTTTGAGCCCATTCTAGTTTGTTCTAGGTAGATCTTGTTCTTTCAAAACATTCAGATTCCGTCCTGTATCTCCATGAGCGTTCTGCAGGGCTGCAGATCTCTCTGCTAGCTGCTTCAAGAGAAGGATTATTCATCTGTGATGATGGCGAGCGATTTATTAATTAAGGGTGTGTTTGGGACCATAGCGGGACGGGCCGCGTGCTGCGGTAACGGTACCGTGGCCTGCCGCCCCGTGGCACGGGCGTGTTTGGCACCACAGCGGGACGGGCTGCGTGGTGCGGTGACGGTACCATGGCCAAGGGTTTTTTTATCGGCCGAAATTCACGGAAGTTTTCGAAATTTCCATTCTATCCACAGGGTCCGATAAAATTTGACATCGGCTAAAATTTTCCCTTCTTTTCTGCTCCCACATAGATAACTCAAATTCAGCCGTGCGACGGTCCCACACTATAATGTTTTATTCTTGTTTTTATCTGTGAACAAGTGATGTTTAATAGCTTAGGAATAGTTTCAAGTCAAATTCTACGAAATTTTTTTCAAAACAATTTGAATTTTTTTTGAACTTAGTCCGATATTTCTGATATATCTTACTTATCCTATTTATCCATGACCTCCGATAAATTTTTATTTCCGATAATGAAAACCTTGACCATGGCCGGCCTCCTGCCCGTAGCATGGAAAACGTGAGTCGTCCAGGTTCATTCTTGCGGTGAATGTATCTCGCGCGGTGAAAAGAATCAACGATTCTTGAGAGGTGTTTTGGTGGGATTATTTCGATGCTCGTGGTGGGGCAACCGCAGACCTGATTATAAGCCAAAACAAACACGTAGTAAGCATGGCGGCCACTGTGTATTTATGGCATGCATGTTGTTGCAACTCATGGATCAACAAAAATCTCCCTATAATTATGTAGATGATTGAAGTGATTATCTGATGCCCTAAACTATAAGTGCAAAAGATTGATCGTGCACAGAATTGGGTTCTTGATCCTACTCATCAGTGAAGAAAGCTCCGCGCAGTATAATTATTTTTCCTGCTTTGTTTCTTCAACAAGTGTATGTTGAAAGTTGTGTTCCTGCTAGAGCAAACATTAAGAGAGAGAGAGAGAAACACCTAGCTAGACTTGTTAGGAAACATACATTTATAATAATTGCCTCTAATCCATATGCATGTATTGGGAGGGATTATTGAAAGAGAAATTAGTTAATTTTCCACTCCCGTCCTTGCTAGTCATCTCCATGTATTGTATTGTTGGAAGAAATCGAATGGTTTTACTTTTACCCTAGTAGCTATTAATTTGGGCGACGATTGGATGAATCCAAAGCTAAAACAAAAAGGTCCTTGGATATGCATGATCATTATATAAATATTGATTCCAAGCAAGTTCTGGATACCATCTTCACTAATTTCATGTTTCGCAGGCCTAGCTAACTTTTAATGGTAGTGTGCACCGTCGTCCAAATAAAAAAGTGGTGCTATCAAGCAAAAGCGGTGCAACTGAACCCTTGTTTTCATACGAAACCGCCGGTTCCCCAGCAGCCCTTTCACGAGAAAGCAGCAGGGTGTGCATGTAGGAGTTTTCGGTCTTCCTCAGAAAAAGCTTAGGGATAGATCGAGTAACGTTAACAAGCTTCTGCATGCGTATGTGATGTCACACTTTTTTGTTGCTATAGTGTGTGATCACTGGTTACGGAAAGTGTTTATATATTATTTATGTCCTCACTAGAACTAAATTAAATAAGCGACGATGCTTAATAAAAAATGATTATGTGTGTAATAAGTTTGATCTGGAATAACTTATAATATGATCCAACGTTCACCCCTTAAATAAGCGACTGCTGCCAATGTTTTTTCTCGCCTTCAATTCATTATGGCTGCTTCTTACAAACAATAAGCTAGTTCTCCGTATATACACGCATGCATGCTACATGCATACGTAAAGAGAGGGCTGACATGTGCATTTGACTGACCTTTGCTACTACGTGCGCACTAAAAGCCGGTGCAAAAACAAGGACAGGACTAGGAAAGATGCCATTAGCTAGGCATGGGATTCCACTAGTAGTAATGCTCTTTTGGCTTTAATAATTATTTATTTCTCTCCCGGTTTGGAACTAACCTTTTGTTTCATTCGATCGGGCAAGCTAAGTGATCTGCAAGGGACATGCAGTCATCAACTACGTACACGCAAGCTTAAGCTTCGGGAAGGATATATAGATAGATAGATATAAATATAAATATAAATATAAATATAAATATAGATATAAATATAGATATAGATATAAATATAGATATAAATATAAATTTATTTTCTTCCCCTTGAGTTGGCTTGACCTGATGTAGAAAGTAGAGCCATGTGACACTACTAGAGGCCGCGGGCAAAGAGCCCTTTGCACTCGGCAAAGGCTTTGCCGAGTGTAGCACTCGGCAAAGTCCGCTCGGCAAAATTTTTCTCGGCAAAGGGTCTTTGCTGAGTGCTTTTTATCGGGGCACTCGGCAAAATATAAAAAAATTCTGCCGGCAAAATATTTTCAGCCGTTGTGGCGCCGGCCGTTAACGGTTATTTTGCCGAGTGCCCGACCCAGCACTCGGCAAAAAAAAAAAAAAAAATTAAAAATTACTTTGCCGAGTGCCCCAGCCCAGGCACTTGGCAAAGTTTTTTTTAAAGTACTTTGTCGAGTGCCCCTGCCCAGGCACTCGGCAAAGTTTTTTTTATTTTTTTTAAAAAATTACTTTGTCGAGTGCCCTTGCCCAGGCACTCGGCAAAGTTTTTTTTATTTTTTTAAATAATTTCTTTGCCGAGTGCCCCTGTTTAGGCACTCGGCAAAGAATTTCTGAATTTTTTTTAAAAAAAAATACTTTGCCGAGTGCCACGGCGAGGCACTCGGCAAAAAAAAAATTTGAAAAATCTTTGCCGAGTGCCTTGTCCATGGCACTCGGCAAAGACCCCGAGAATTGCAAAAAAATTTTACATTCCATTGTAACAGACAATATATATATATACATCAATCATCACATATATATCACCAACATGCATTATATATCACAAGCACACGCATATTTAATAAAGCCATCGAAAATCCATCACAAATGCACCAAAGTTCAACATCACAAGTTTATTATTACAAGTTCAACATCACTGTGTCACGGCGAGCCACTTTGTGAAGTTCTCAAACTCGGTGTAGTCACTGTCTGAGATCATGGTCTTGTACCATGCCTTGCCTGCAGCCTTTACCTTGGCAGCCTCCTCCTACGACAAACCAACATGTAATGTTAGGTACATGGTTATCAACAAAACAAATGATGTTTCTGATATATACAGAGTGAATCAACAGCGATAGGATCAATCATGTCTTTTCAAGTGCTGACTGAAACAAATAATCTAAATTCTGAACAAGACTGACCATACACAAATATAGGACTATGCAGTCAAACAAATTTGGTCAGATGGCACTAGGATGTGGGGTATTTCAGGAAATTTGGGGAATAATTTAAACCATCATATAGCATTCATTGTAATAACCAACATTCCAAATGATTAAAATATTAATCTCAATCACATAGTAGTGATGTCCAAATGTCACTAGTTCAAAGCAAAAACTCAGCAGGTAACAAGAGCTATCAAACTAATATGTTCAACAGAAACAACCGCCATGCTTAGAATGGTTACACATTTAGATCACCCAAAGCCAAGAGTGATCACAAAATATTTCCAAGAGTAGGACAATAGTATATTACTAGCATTTCTCCAGCCATCTAAAGAAACATAATACAAGTAACACAAAATGCCTAACAAAACTTAACATGGACAACAAACACACTGAGCTAGTAAATTATCTATCAATTGTACAGTACAGAACAACATAGAGTAATTCTGGATACAACATTAAACCAATACACATGACTAGACTCACAGAACCACTACTGCAAAAGCATATGAAATGGACTAATTCATGTGTGGTGTTCTGTAACTAGTTAACGCAAAGCATGGCATAATTTGCAACATTATCACAAATGTGCTACAGCAAACAGGTTAAAGCTACACACCAGTATTGACTAGACAGCAGATAGAACAGAAACTGTACTAGGCCTCACCAGTAATAATCAAACCACAAACTATTGAACTAAGAAGATCCCATCTAAGTTAACAAATCCAGTACTCATAACAGAAATGTAAGAGAGCAAATTATCATACCGGGCTAAGCTTGGTCCTCTTGGAGTCGAGCTTCTCCTTCCGGGCCTTGACACGGGCAGCCTCAGCAAGGGTGGCCATCTTCCGGGCGGTGCCGAGGTAGGGGTTGAGCTTGAGCACAGCAGCCATGTTCTTGAGAGGGTTCTTCCGCTTTTCCCTGCGCTTCACCTCCTTGTTGAGTGGCTTCACCACAGACTGCACCTCGTCAGAGTTGATGATCCTGCCCAGGTCAGCGTTGGTCATCTTGGGCCTTGGCAGAACGAAGCCCTTCTTCTTCTGGGACGGCGCGTCAAAGCTCCCATACACCTCCTCAAGCTTCTTGAGCGCGCTCTCGGTCCAGATCACAAAGCGCCCGAGGTGGCCACCGGGGGCGAGGTCGAGCAGGTTGAGGCGCTCGGCGTTGGCGACATCCACACCCGGGAGGTTGCGGAAGGCCTTGACGACCTTGGAGCCCTCGGTGCCGTGAGACGATGAGCGGGCCTTTGCGCGGTTAATGTGGCGGCGGTTGCGCATCTTCCCCTTGCCGGGCGGATGGCGACGGAGTTCTTGGCCTTCTCGGCATCGGCGTGGCGCCGATCCGCTTGAGGATCTTAAGCGCTGGGAGGTCTTCTAGATGGACTTCGTCGAGTCGAGAGATGACCAGGGGCATCTTGGGGACGGTCTCGACGCGGTGGTGTTGCTGCGCGCTACCGACGAGGGCCGGGACGACGGTGGCGGCGGCGCGTGAGGCGACGGCTTACGCTGGCGGAGGTTGGTGGTGCCACTTGCGCCAGATCTTGGTGGGCGCGAACATGTGGCCGCCGCGCGCACATGTTGTCGAAGGCTCCCCGGCGGCCGCGGTGGGTGCCGCCGCCGAGGGACGCAGGGATACGGACACGGCGCGGCCGGTATCCTGTGACTCGGCCGACGTCTGGTGGCTGCGTGGCGGAGACCGCGTAGGGCCGGGCGCTTGTTGCGAGACAGCAGCTTGTGGGTTAAGCGGACCACGTCGGGCGGATCGGTGCCCAAGACGGGCGTGTAGGGTGATGCCGGGCGTCCGGTCACCATGTCGCCCTCCGTGGCCTTCACGGAGACAAGGGGCGGTGGCGACCATGGCGACGCAATGCGCTGCTTTGCAGCGGGGCGCGGCGGCGGGGGTGACGGGGTGGGCGCGCGTGGCGGCGGCGGCAGGCGGGCGAGGGCAATGGGCGGGCGCACGCGGCGCGAGGGCGGGCTCGTCTCGTCGGCGATTCACCGGCGAGGGCGCGACAATGGCGGGGTGGGTACACAGCGGTGGTGGGGTGGGCGTGGGGGAGCGGGCGTGGTCAGGGCGTTTTTAGGTTTGGGCCATGCGGGGTTGGGCGGTGGGCTTTTAGTGCGCAGCTTTTTTATTTTTAAAATCAACTTTGCCGAGTGCCCCTGGGGCAAGACTTGCCGAAAGTGGCCCCGTGGCACTCGGCAAAATAATTTTTATTTTAGGCCCCAAATTTTTACGGGGCCTTCTTGATTTTTGATATTCAAACTCTATTTTAAAATTTGGGGCAATTTTGACTTTTTGATATATTTCATTAGTTTATTTTGATTTAAATTGAATTTTTGGAATGATATTTCAAATTTGAACAATGAGGGTGCATGGAATAATGGACTTTGGATCATCAAAAACTCAAATGTGATCACAAAGATCACATGTGAGATATTTGGTTTTTGGCATCCGTCTCACAACTTACTCATGCTTCTTTCTACCACAGCCTCCACATGTGATAACACGATGCCTCGACAAGTTTCGTGATTTTCGGACTTCGCTTGCATTTTATATAATTTAAAAATCATATTTCGATAAGTACCTCGACATGTTACGCCAACGTAGATGCTCGAGATTTCATGTGAGTTTCGACATGGCCTAAACATACCCTAAATATCATGAGTATCAATTTTGATGACCAAAGTCCATTATTCCATGTACCGCAGCTCAAATTTGAAATATCCCAAAAAATTGATGAAACGAAATAAACTAATGAAATATATCAAAAAAAAGTCAAAATTGCCCCAAATTTTAAAATAGAGTTTGAAATATCACACAAGGCCCTAGAAAAATTTGGGCCCAAAATCAAAAAATTTGCTTTGAAAAGCCATGGGGGCACTTTCAAGAAAGTTGATTTTCAAAAATAAAAAAATTTGCCGAGAGTGCTGCTACCGCACTCGCAAAATAAGTTTTAAAAATTAAAAAAAATTGCCGAGTGCCCAAGGCTTACTCTCAAAGCAAATATATGTTTTAAAAAAATTACCGAGTGCCCGGTCCGCTCTCGGCAAAATAAGTTTTAAAAAATAAAAAAAAACATTTGCCGAGTGCCATGGGCTGGCACTTGGCAAAATATGTTTTTTTTTAAAAAAATTGTCGAGTGCCTAGGGCTGGCACTCGGCAAAATAAGTTTTTAAAAATAAAAAAAAAATTCGAAAAGTGCCGGTAGATTAGGCACTCGGCAAAATCTCTGACGGCAGTGGTCGCCGTCGTGGGCCGCCATCTTTTTTGTCGAGTGGGATCTTTGCCGTCAGTGCACGGCTCTCAAGAAAAGCCCGCTTTTGCCGAGAGCCAGGCTTTACCGAGTGCCTGGCACTCGTTAAAGCCACGTTTGTCGAGTGCTTTATTTTGCCGAGTGCGGCACTCGGCAAAATATTGCTTTGCCGAGTGCCCCGATAAAAAGCACTCGGTAAAGTCCGGTTTTCCAGTGCTGGGAGAAGCCTTCCTTGATCTCATGCATGATAAAAGTTATCTATGTATCTAGAAAAGATAAAACGACTTCCAAGTTAAAAAGGATGGCGTACTATACATTATTAGTAGCTCACTATATTGCGTATTCCCACAATTACATATTCTCAAAATTGTAACCAACAAGTTAATCCACACCATCACAAATAGAAGTATACATTTTTGTGCTTTAATATCTTATCGTTGCTGTATATGTAGGAGTTGCACAAATGTTGATGCACATCACGGCAGAACCATTACGAGAAAAAAAAAAACTTGATATACATAGCCTTCTTAAAACTTGTCCAACTCTCCAAAATAAAGTGCACGAGCACCTCAAAGCTATTGTCAATGTGCACCGTGGCACACATTTTATCATTGCTCCCCGTGCAATATCATCGTCAACTGACTACAAAACACAGTTTTATCGGATTGCTTAGCTTCTGATGCAATCTCACTAGCAATTGATTATAAAGCCGTATTTTGTCGGCTATCGGTGTCAGCTGATTATAAAATGGTTTTTATCAACTATCAGTAGCAGCTGATTATAAAGCGGTTTTTTGTCGGCTATCAGTGGCAACGGACTATAAAGCGTTTTTTGTTGGCTGTCAATGGCAGCTGATTATAAAGTGGCATTTTCTCGATTATCATTGACAGCAGACTTATAAAGTGGCATTTTATCGGCTATCGCTTGCAGCTGATTATAAAGGCATTTTGTCGGTTATCATTGTGGCAGCTGATTATAAAGTGTTTTTTTGCGGGCATTATTGTTATTTATTGTTGTGTGTTATTTCCTAGTCATGAAGAACTTTCATTACTATATATCGAATGTGTTTGCCCAATGTCCAATCTTTTTATATAGAGCTGGGTTTTTTATTTTCGATACTAGCTACTAGATAAATAAAGAGATTGGTTATAGACCCATCAGCAGTGTTCATTCGTCGTGTAAAAAAAAGTTCCAGATCCTATCAATGGTTACTCCATACATACATGGTATTGAGATTATTGACATTATCATGAGCCGTTTGAAAATGGATCATTACTACAAGTAACATCTACAAGTTTGAAAAAATTTCTTACTACTGCTCCTCAACATACGCGTGAATGGCTCTCAGGCAAGGTTTGCCTTACATTGCCTTCTTCTTATTACTACTACTCAACATAAGCCTCATAGCTTCTCAGGCAAGGTTTGCCTTACCTTGCCAATAGAGCTTGCCTTGCTTGCTCTGGTTGGAGCGAGCCCGATTGGCTCTCCTATGGAACAACAAGGAATTTTCTTGCTAGCACAAGCTTCAAGGCAAGCTATCCTACCAACCAAACAGCCATGGCTTTTCATTTCCTAGCTAGGCAAGGCCAGGTGAAAATGTGCATGGAGATCAAACAACCATTAGTCTAAACCAAGAATATGGTCCACTAGTACAACAATACTTGTATAAAAAAGTGTTGGTGGCAATCATATATATAAGGATCATATAACCATTACTTAGGGTAACTATAAATGCAAATAAATTTACTAACAATGTGTCATAGAAGCTAATGCCTCGCCTACAAAGTTATCAAAACGCATGGTAAAGAGAAAGATATAGAAAAAAAAATAAGAGATAAAGCATAAAAAAATAAAAGAGGAAGGTGGGACGAAAGGACGCGTCGACCGAAAAGTAAGATCCACGGCTCAGAGAGGCCTATATATAGGGCCCACCTGCCAAGAGTACTAGTGCCCCTCACAACCTAGGCACCTTCCCCGGGTACCGAGTAGTCACTATACGCTGTGTCTCCCGTTGCACGCGCAACGGCTGACACAGGCGGAGCTTTGCTATGAACGAAGCTCATCAGGTGTTCGTCTTGGGCATGGCGTACGGACAGTACCTCGCCGGTGGCGTGGGCGCGCCCCCTGGCGGCGGCGGCGAGGACCCGAACCGTCCGTGGCGCCCCATATCGTCGCACGAGGCGGACGCCGTCCCGGCGGCGCAGCAGCGCAAGAAGAAGGCGGCGGCCCACAACCGCAGCAGGAACGAGTCCGGGGACGGGCCTCACCCCTGCCCTGTCTGCCACCGCCGCTTCGACTGCGCCAAGGCCGTGCACGGGCACCAGCGCAACCACCCGGAGCGCGCCTGGCGTGGCATGGCGCAGCCGGCCGAGCCGCCGGTAGTTGCCGTTACTGCCGACGGGAGGCAGCTGCGCTACGCGTGCGAGCGCTGCGGGGCCCAGTTTGAGACTCGCCAGGCGCTCGGCGGCCACCGCGCCAGCCACAGTGGCAAGCTCGGCTGCTACTGGCTCTCCAGGCAGCACCTGGACGGGCCGGCGCAGCAAGTCGTCATGCCCTTCGATCTGAACGAACCGCCACCGGAGCAGCAGCAGGACGAGGAGGACAAGGAGAAGGAGGAGGAGTAGGAGCAGCTAGGGCTCCGATCCCGCCGGTCGATCGCCGGCGGCAGCGTGCTTGCGTCTTAATCTGTATAGATATCGTTCGTTTGATAGTTAATCCTCCATGGTTCGGTTGCAGCGCCCTGGAAATAAACTGTGTATTAATCGGGGCTCTAGTAATTTGGAGGATTAACCATGCAGGTATATGATACATGCATGTAAGCTCGATCGATGGATTTAAATAAAGAACGCAAGCTGTTATGAATAATAATACATGTTCGTGGTGTTTCAGTCTTCTCTTGATCGAGAGCTAGCCATAGAGCTTGCGTTCTAGAAGAAGGATTCACCTTCTTATTATCTCGTCATGCGCATGCAGCTTTAATTTTGAGCCCATTCTAGTTCGTTCTAGCTTGATCTTGTTCTT